GGTTCTACAGTGTCTGGTTCTGGTTCTACAGTGTCTGGTTCTGGTTCTACAGTGTCTGGTTCTGGTTCTACAGTGTCTGGTTCTGGTTCTACAGCTCTGGTTCTGGTTCTACAGCTCTGGTTCTGGTTCTACAGCTCTGGTTCTGGTTCTACAGTGAGTTTAGAACCTGTGAAATGAAGGATTGTGTTTAAAAGATGTTTTAGTTCCTCACAGTTTTCTACAATCATTTTGTTCAACCACTGAATTAAAGCTGAAAGTCTGAACTTCAGCTGCATCTGAACTGTTGGTTTAAATTCACTGTGGTGATGTCTAGAAGCAGGATTAGAAACATGTCTCTGTACAAATATATATGGACCTGACTGTATGTTCTTTGGGGTCTATCTTTAATAAATATAAGATTCTTTTCCACTGTTTTGCTGACGACACTCAGGTCTACCTGCCTATCAAACCAGGTTCCATTAATTCATTCCAATCCCTCCTGAGCTGTCTGATGGACATAAAAATCTGGCTGAAATTAAATMTCCTGAATCTAAAGTAAAGTAAGACAGAAGTCCTCAGCTTTGGTAAAGACATTTCTCCTGACAGTCTTGGTCCTCTGGCTTCATCCAGCTGCTCTGCTGTCAGAAAGTTGGGTTTCYTTTTTGATAAAGCTTTCAAATTGGATAGGCAGATYAACTCAGTGGTGAAATCAAGTTTTTCCCAACTAAGACTRATTGCAAAGATGAAGCCATACCTCCCAATRAAAGACCTTGYCCTTGTCTCTGATGTGTGTCCATCAGTCTATAAATGTGACCTGATTAGCTTTGTAGAATGTGTGTGTGAATAGATAGATAAGGGCACCGATTTTATTGTAAATCACTCTGAATATCCTGGTTTGATTGATAGGTGCAACATAACCATTTACTAAATGTGGCTGTTGTCCTCTGTGGTCTCAGATTCTGGACTCTGAGCTGTTTGAGCTAATGCAACAGAATGGAGATTACACTCACTTCTACTTCTGCTATCGCTGGTTCCTGCTGGACTTCAAAAGAGGTGAATTCTACATCCTGTTCTCTACCTGCTAGTGTTCCCTGATATTATCAGCAGCAAGTCCCAAAGACTGATGTTCAAAAAGCAAACTTTACAAAGGCTGATAATTGTGTTTGACTGTTTTGTGTGTGTGCAGAACTCCTGTACGAAGATGTGTTTGCAGTGTGGGAGGTGATCTGGGTGGCTCCCAGGATCTCCTCACACCACTTTGTCCTCTTCTTGGCCCTGGCACTGGTTACAGTTTACCGTGAGATCATCATAGATAACAACATGGATTTCACTGACATCATCAAATTCTTTAATGGTAAGACACAAATATATTATGTATTCTAATATGCATGAGGATTTATACTATAGATTTTTTATTTTTAATGGATTGCAAAGATATTCATAACCCTTGAACCTTTTTATATTTTGTCACATTACAACCAGAAATATAAATATATTTCATTGGAATTGAATGTGAAAGATCAACACAAATTGGTATACAGTTGTGAAATAGAAAGAAAATTACACAATTCAAAACACTTTTTACAAATAAAAAAAATGAAAAGTGTGTACTTAAGTATTTAGCCCCCTGACTCAGTACTGCAATGCTTCAGACGTGCAAAACGAAGAGCCTTTTTGTTCATTTCCATTTTCAGAAAAATGGAAGATGATATTGTAACAGCTCCAACACCTCAACTAAACATCAGATCATTCATGGTGACAAAACTGTTTAACTTTTTAACACAAGATTGTACATACATATTTAACTAGTTGTATACAAATGATTTGTAGTGATAACAGTAAGTTTCACCACTAATAATAATAATAATAATA